TGGCGGGCGGGTTTGCTGCCTCCCCGCCCGGGTCCCGGGTCCCCGCCCCCGCTTCAGCGGCGCTGGAGCGAACGGGCTTGGCCCCCGCGGGCGATGGCTCCGCGCGTGGAGGGGCGGGAAGTGAAAGTGAAACAGTCCGGTCTTAGCCTCGGGATCTGCCCCCTCCCGCAAAAAAGGGTCCCGTTCCCACGGACTGCCGTGGGGCGATCCTGGTGGGCTCAAAAGAACGAAACAAAAAAAAAAAAAAGAAAAGAAGCGCAAATGCGCTCTGCTTGCTTCGGGCCGGCCCAAAGCGGCAAGCAAGCCAGAAGCCAATACTGGGGTGACTGGTTTGCTGTGTCGCAGTGCCCAAGTAGCACCGAGCTGTCCGGTAACTTAACCCCATTGTCCTGTTACCCAGTGCCTTGACAACAAGACCAACGGCCTCGGGTAATTTTGGAAGTAATACGGACTTTTACTAGCCTTCAGTGCTTTCAGAACTTCCTGATGGCCAGTTTCAGCCTTCATCAGCTCAGGGGCAGGAACCAGAAGCACTGGAAATAGTGGCAACAGTTAGGTTCATGTCAGCTGCTGTGACTAATGTTGCCCAAAATGTTTGAGTTTTCAAAATATGTAACTGGAAATGTAGGAGAAACTGCTCCTCTGCAGAATCCTATCTCTCCCTTTCAATAGTTGGAAAACTGCCACTTAGAGATATCTACAGTTAAAGTTCTGATGCACCTTCTGGAAGAATATACTCTACAAGCGAGTATACGAGAAATTCCTCAGGAACTTGATGTCTTCCTCTGGTCAGCTCAAACATGCTGCACAAATATCTTTTGCTCAGCATACCTGCAGGGAGAAGGAAGCAGCTGGTAGGCAGTATCCGTTAGCTAGAGATCACCTATACCAGTTGGAAACTGCCCATGGTAAGGAAGCTGGTGGAAGACTGGGCCAGAGCAGGAACTGGGAACACAGCCTTGGAGGCTCTTCAATACAGTCTCAGCAGCAGGTACGCAAACTGGCTTTCTTTGAAGCAAAACATGCCCTTTTTCAAACCTGAGAACTCCTGCGTCGTTCCACATCACTCAAACACATGGCTATGGCAGCTGGGTATGGATGCCAGAAGACACAGGGTAAAACATGGTTCCTTATACAAGAAGCCAATAGATGGTAATTTTAAGAACATAGTAATAGGCACTACTGAGTCAGACTAGTGGCTCTTCTTGCCCAGTATTTTGTCTGGCAGAATGACATGCTGTGCAAAAGCCTGGCTTTTCCATGGTCCCTTCTCCTCGTCCTCATGTTCCTCCAGCTTCTACAGCCACCAAATTAGAAATGTTAGATAGCACATCTGCATCTCTTCCTTTTAGCACCTATTTATGGACCCTTGCTCATACATCCCTTTTTGACTCCATGATACAGTCTGCCTCCACAAACCCCTGTAGTCTCAACTTCCAGCAAGGCACAACCTGTTATGTAAAAACAATTTTCTTCCATACGTTTCAAACTCATATCCTACTTGTTTCAACAAGTGCCCCTTCTAATAATATTACTGACTTTGGTGAATAACAGTTCAACATTTGGCATATTTATCACTCTCATGGGTTTTTAAAGCTCACTCAGCTTTGTCATGTCAGAAATGAGAGCCCCCATCTATTGTAGGGCAGATGCTTCATCCCCTTGATAATTTAGATGCAGGGATAACTTCTTTAATGCCGTGAGGTCCTGCCAAGACATGGAGATGTGAACTGTACTGCTAGTCAAGGTATGGCTACACGTACCGAGGTTTCACAAAGCAGCAGAATAACACCATCTGCCTTGTTCTCAATAACTTTCTGGATGATAGTTTTTGCTGCTGCCTCCCACAGAGCCATTGATTTCAGAGGGGTAGCAACAGTGACTCTGAGATCTCTTTCCTGAGATGTAGTTGCCACTACTGAGCTCAGCATCAGGTACACAAGGTTTCGATTATTCTTTCCTACAAGCATTGCCTTACCTTTATGCACAGTAAGGCTTATCTGCCACTTTTCTATTCATTCATTTTTATGAGGTCCAATTGACTTGCAGCCAAGTTTTGCTTTCAAAGCACTTGAAAAGCTAGCCGTGTTCCTCACTGACCTGTCTGGCTCCTTGCTCTCCTGTTTTCCTCTTTTCCTGATGCCACTGTTGCCTTTCCCCTCCCTGCTGACTAAAGCGAAAGAGCTTACTTTCATTTTTCCTTTTCCCCTCCTTGATGTAACCTTGATTAAAAGCATTCCTGAGCCAAGTTGGTGGTGCTTCCTTCCGCATTTGTAATATGCTTATGAGATCATTTATAATAGGCATGTGATGTCTGTCCTTCTGAGATTTCTTGAGATGCACAATTTGAAGACTTGTGATTATCTTTAAGATCTCATGCTTACCACAAGTATTCTTAGTACAAGTTTTCTACCTCAAAGGAGGGAGAAAGGCTGTACTCCCTGTATCTGCATTGGCTCAACTTGACCTGAACAAAAGATAGGAATGAGGTGAGAAAGGAATTCGAACTGGGACCAGAGAAGATGTGACATGGGATAGAGTTCCTAACATGGAACAGAAGGGATGTATGGAGCGATGGGGAAACAGAGCGTACCAGACCTCTCCAAATTAATTGAAACACTGAAACAACCAAGGAGCAACTTCAATATCAGGTTTCAGTCTAAACTTGCATTGTCTTGTCTTCCTCCTTTTGCAATTCCATTTTCAAGTTTGTCACCATCAAACCCTTTACTTTATTAGAAAATCCTGCTTTCATCCTTAAGCTTCTGTCTTAACGTAAACCTGAAGGAACTAGAAGGGCACATGGATAATTCCTCCCATGGTAACTCACTGAAATAGTCTCTGCTGGTAAGCTCTGAGACACTTTTGGAAAGCCTTGGGAACTGAGATGTTTCCCATCCTGCTGCAGGAATACATTTGTGAGGTGGCATTACTGGGACTAGACACAGCAAGAAGTGTCCCGTCCTGCCCTACTGGCATGAATCTGTTCCAGCAAGAAAAAGCTGATAGAGATAACAAAAAAACTGGCTGAAGGGGAAAACCTGAAGCCCCGTTATTCACCGATCCAGACATTACTGAGCCAGTAGATCATCTCCAGGAAAGTGAAGGAAAGGTGATGGAGTTTAAGGATAGCAAATGACAGTACTAATTAACATAGTGGCAACACTTTTTTTTCACAAGCAGATTTTGTTTCCCATTAAAATTTGCAAACAGGATGAAGCTAGTTCTCCTACCCCTTTTCCAAAAAAAAAAAAAAAAAAAAAAGAAGTGAACATGAGGGAAAGACTGTCCTGCTACATTAGCAGTTCTGGCAGTTCAGTGGAAGTGAGGGAAGCTCCAATTGAAGCCTGCCATGGCCGCCATGCAGTTGCTAGGTGTTGAGATTTGAGTATGGCTCCATACTTTAGCAGCAGTGGCAACAGTAAAGTGCCCATGCAAGAATGAGGACAGACTGACTGAAGGCAGCATAAGGTCACAGAGGACCTCGTGGTGTGTCTAGACACACTGGAGGACTGCTGATGGCAACTGGTGCTATGAGGGAGGTGTCTCCAGCAATAGCTGCTGTGCCACCGAGGAACTGAGGAAGATGGGAATTGGCAGCTTGGTCCCAGTCTCCCCTGGTGTTTCCATGGGAGGGGGCGGCAGCCATCTGCCCTGCCAATGTGTTACCTCAGGCAGCTGCCAACATTTCCTGCTGTTAAGGCTAACCCTATATTCAAATTGGTGCAGTAGCTTTGCTTGAGGTGCTTTAGGCAGTACTGGAGACCAAGAATTAAAGAACCTTCAAGTATTTTCTTGTCATGAATCTGAAGTCATCAGGCTCCCTAACCTGGAGTGCTCCGCAATGCAAACCTGTTTAAACCTGCAAGAGCTCATGGCTGTTTCTGAGGATGCAGCGCAGTTGTAGAAGATCAGCTTTCCCCCTACTTCATGAGTCACACCGTTTTTGACCAGAAGAACTGAAGTCACTGAGCCCACACATATCAAAAGGGGTCCTCAGGTGTATTTTGGGTTTGTGTGGTGGGGTTTCGGTACCGGGGAGGGGTTGCAGGGCCAGCTCCTGTGAGAAGCTGCTAGAAGTTTCCTTGGCTCCAAGTCGGACCCGCTGCTGGCCAAGGCCGAGCCCATCAGCGACAGTGGTAGTGCCTCTGGGAGAACAGATTTAAGAAGGGAAGCCTGCAGTGGGGGAGGAAATTGGAATGTGAGAAAAAAACCCTGTGCAGACCCCCAGGTCAGTGAAGGAGGGGGAGGAGGTGCTTCAGGCACCGGAGCAGAGATTCCCCTGCAGCCCTTGGTGAAGACCATGGTGAGGCAGGCTGTGCCCCGGCAGCCCATGGAGGTCCACAGTGGAGCAGGGGGATGCCCAAAGGAGGCTGTGACCCCATGGGAAGCCCGTGCTGGAGCAGCCTGTGCCTGAAGGACTGCAGCCCATGGGAAGCCCGTGCTGGAGCAGCCTGTGCCTGAAGGACTGCAGCCCATGGAAAGACCCACACTGGAGCAGTTTATGAAGAACTGCAGCCCGTGGGAAGGACTCACGTTGGGAAAGTTCATGGAGGACTGTCTCCCGTGGGAGGGACCCCATGCTGGAACTGGGGAAGAGTGAGGAGTCCTGCCCCTGAGGAGGAAGGAGCGGCAGAGACAACGTGTGATGGACTGACCCCAGCCCCCATTCCCCATCCACCTGTGCCGCTGGGGGGGGAGGAGGGGCAGAAAATTGGGAGTAAAGATGAGCCGGGAAGAAGGGGGGGCAGGGGGGAAGGGTGTTTTAAGGTTTGGTTTTACTTCTCATTATCCTGTTTTGTTTTGATTGGTAGTATATTAAATAGATTTGATTTTTCCCCAAGTCGAGTCTGTCTTTTGCCCACGACCATAAAGTGGTGAGTGATCCCTCCCTGTCCTTGTCTCGACCCACGAGTGGTTTTTTTTATGTTTTCTCCTCCGCATCCCCCTGGGGCCGGGGGGCAGGAGTGAGCGAGGAGCTTGGTGGTGCTTTGTTGCCGGCTGGGCTTAAACCACGACCAGGTGCTCGACGGGCTCAAACCCGCTGCCAGCGCCGGGCAGCCGACCTGCTTCGTGATGGCCCTGCGGGGCCGAGAAGCGGGTCGGGGTGGGGGGGGAGAAAGAAAACAGCGAGCCGTCGCCCGCGGCTCGGTGCCAAGTTTCCCTTCTGCGAGAAAGGAAAACGAAACCGAGCGCTTCCCCGCGCTACGGCGCACGGCGGGGCGGGAGGGGAGGGGAGAGGAGGGGGGGCCGCCGCGCTCTTAAGCGCGGAGCGTCGGGCGTCTGGCAGCAGCTTGCGAGCCGAGCCCAGCCCAGCCGAGCCAAGTCCAGTCAAGGCGAGCCAAGCCA